TTTCCACTTGGCTCAAAATATAAGAGGATATTTTCTTTTTTCTTTTCTTTCTTTTTTGACACAGGTCTCATTATGTCGCCCTCAGTAGAGTGCTGTAGTATCACACCTCACAGCAACCTCAAACTCTTGTGTTTAAGCAATTCTCTTGTCTCAAACTCCCAAGTAGCTGGGACTACAGATGCCCACCACAATGCCCAGCTATTTTTTTTTGTTGTAGGTGTCATTGTTGTTTAGCAGGCCTGGGCCAGGTTTGAACCTGCCAGTGTCCAGCGTTGGTGTATGTGGCCAGTGCCCTAACCATTGTGCTATGGGCACCAAACCAGCATATTTTCATAATTGTGTTTAGGAGCACACATTTTTCCTTGTGTCTCTGGTTCCAATAAGGCACTGCTTAAACCTCAGATCTCTCACTTAAACCTCATGTGACCCAAATTTATTTGCATGCCATTGTCAACCCACAGAAACTCACCTTTCAGGGACATGCTGGCCATGTAGTTGATTAGAAATGACTATTTCCCTTGCACAATAATGCAAGGCTGTCAAACAAACAACAGCCTGTCATTATTTTAAAATTTGATATTTTATGCATTAATTTTGATTTTTATAAATAGTATATTATCTTGATTACTGATTTTTTGGGTCCCCTTAAATTTTGTGCCCAAGGTGAGGGGGTCCTTACAGTGCCCCCAAATGGTGGATACTATTACTCATCCTCCATTTTCCCTCCATTTCACAGAAGGGAAAACTGAGGCTTACAGAGGCTTGGCAAAATAACACAGACAGTGATATTGTAATGCAGTCATGGAATGCTTTAAGATGGTGCATGAATACAGGTGCTAATTTTTGGTTGACAGTGGGACAGTTTTCATTCTGGGTTAACAAACATTGGATCCTGGAGATAGCAGTACCTCCTGGGCTTTCACAGACATGTAAATCAGCTTTACTCTCTCCTCCAGGAGCTGGAGGGTTAATATGAGCAAATGGTTTAGGTCTAACCTGGTGAGTGCTCAGAGGAGGGGCCCAGGGAGCTGAGGCTAGGTAAAGGGATAGAGAAGATGGTCAGAGAGGAGCCTGGAGGAGAAGCCAGGGGACCCAGCCTGACCACAGGGTGATTCTGCCAGAGAATTCAAGTGTTAGAGTGTCAGGACTGTGTCTCTGAGCCTGTCTGTGAAATGGGAGGGCAGAATTAGACCTGCCCTACTTCTGTTAAGAAGCTGCTGTGAGAATCAAATGATGTACTGGAGGTGAATGTGCTTCATACAAGGTACACCTGCTGCATTAAGGTAAGGGCACTTGGCCCGGCCCAGTGGCTTAAACTGGTAACCCTAGCACTTTCTGAGGCCCAGGCAGGAGGGTTGGTTGAGGCTGGGAGTTCAAGACCAGCCAAGGTGACAGAGCAAGACCCAGTCTCAATATATACAGTAGAACCTCCACAATTGACTACCTCCCTACACTGACCATTTCCTTAAGTTGACCTAATTGTCACAGACTGGACATGCACCACATGTATGTATCAGTGCTGGAGGCCTAGTTCCTTATGGTGAACACCTCTGTGTGTTGACCAGTTTGTTACAGTCCTTTGGGTGGTCAACTCACAGAGGTTCTACTATATAGAAGGGGGCTTGAAGAAAATCTATTTTTAAAGTATGTAATGCATTGTAAATCTATGAAAATTTCCTACCCATTTCTGTGTCCTAGCCACACAGTTCTCCATCACAGAGATTATGCTCTTAGCAGTTTCCTGTGTCTCTTTTCAGACATGGTGTATGCAATTACACTTCCCACAGGCCCAGAGTACTACATTTAATGGCTTCATAATGAAGCAGAGCTTCTAGCACATTATACATCGGGGAACTCTTAAAAATGGCTGGGAAGGCTCAGCGCCTATAGCTCAACCGGCTAAGG